GACCTCATCGCCCGCAGGAACCACTTCCAAGCCAGACCCCGCCACGACATCACGCGAACACATTGCAGGGGCCTTCCTGAACGAGAAGCTGATCACGTATTTGTTCGCCACCATCGTTGCCTTGAAGAGCTTCTCCCCGACGGCGTGCTCCACCACGCGCCACACGACGGTCATCTTGCGCTTGAAGGTCTTGGAGATCTGGGCAGGCCCCTGGCAGATGCACCTCTCGGCTTCCCAACAAAGGCGCCGAAGCCGACGGGGTGCGTCCAAAGGCTTGCAGCCGACCTCGCGCGCGTGCGCATGCTTGGCAATCCACTTGGCAGACTCCATCTCCACGCTGCTGGTGTCGAGAGCCCTCAGGACCTCGGACATCACAGACTCGCGCCTCCGCATGAACACGGCCGTCGGCAACGAGGAGCGCTGGATGGCTAAGTCAGCGGGCCGCTCGTCGGCAGCAGAAGCATCGTTCCCAATGAAATACCAGTCCCTGGCATGCTGATCCGCCTCTGCGTTGGATCGTGCCCTCAGGTCCGCCTCCGCCGCCTGGCCAGAACGCATGGTGGCAGCCGCGGCCCTCTTGTGCGCCATGAGCCTGACGGTCGCAGCCTTGAAGATGGGTTTCTCGAAGACCGACGACGCCGCGTCCTGCTCGCCGTCGGCCAGGGCGACTCCGTCGGGGGCACCGTCGTCGACCACGCGCACGGTCGGCATTCCCCTTGCCGCGCGCGCGGGCGAGCTCCGTCGCGGCGGCTTCCCGAATGCAGGTCGCCCATTCCGATAGTCCTGCAGTGCGGCAGCTGCCAAATCTTCGCACGGTTGCCGCTCCTCGGCGGATAACCCAGCGTACCTGGCAGAAAACTCGGCCCCCAGAGCGGCGTCGACGAACACGCCGTTCGCCTCAATATGCACGAACGCCCGCCACACCCACGGCCCCATCGGCGTCGGCCTGCTCGTCCGCTGGGCTCGCCGCGCCTCCACTTTCTTCTCCTCGGCGGTGGCCTTGGGCTGCCCGCGGAATATAGCCGTCTGCCACTTCAAGTATTGCCTGAAAAGGGCGAGGCCGCTCATCGATGGCAGGTCGATGCCCCAAGAAAACTTGCTGTTCTCGCTCTGCTGCAGGTTCTCGCTGTGGTGCGCTCGGCGAAGGCAGTGCTGGTTGTCATTAGCGGGATAATCCCCGCAAGCTCGGCCTTCGCCATCCTGCCGCCGATCCCACCGCGGGAGCTGTAGTACTCCTTCCAGGACGCCGTGTAGGCATCAAGGACGCACTCGTCGGTGTTGGCCAGGTACTCTTCTGTGGCGCCGTCGTCCCTCAGCACGTTGAACGTGTTGTACGGGGTCTTCCTGTGCCTGACCTCCACGAGCTCGTAAGCGGCCGCTGCCAGCCTCGAGCATCCACGGTCCGCGTCGAGCTGGAAACTCTCCGTCGCCATGGTCGCCAGGGGCCAACTGCCGTCGTCGAAGATGAGAGCCGTCATCTGCTTCGTGAACTTCGCAACCTGCTTGGCATCACTGGCGGCCCAAATCGGGTAATCCCTGGAGCTGCCATCGATCAACCTCTTCTGTTGACGCACCTCCCATTCTGCTCCAGAACGCGACAACTCATCCAATTTTAAGTGGCGGCACGGCCCGTGGGTCCTGAGTGTGGGGGCTCAAGTCTCCGCCGAACTCGCCACCGACCGATGGCGAAAGGGCGCGGCTTCGCCCCCTGGGCCCACGGCCGCCTGACACGGCGCATCGAGGCGCCCCCGCCCTGTCAAGCAGCCGCGGGCCAGGTCGAACATCGCCACGGCGAAGCCGAGTCCCCGCCCGGTCGGTTGGTAGAGGCAGGTCGGCGTAGAATTGAAACCTCGGACCTCGAAAACAAGTACATGTCATCGCGGAAGCAACCGCTCTGCAGCCAAGACAACGTTTGCGTCTGTCGGGACTTGTTCTCCTCTCGCCACACGCTCGGGTCCTTCGGCTCGTCCACGTCGGCTCCAGAATCAACGGCCCGATCGACTGCTGGCTCCTCTGGATCCGCTGCGCCACTGGCAGCTCCAACGAAATATGTAGAATACGCACTCGGGAACATGTTGTGCACGAACGTTGCCAACCCAAGCCCGCAAACTGAATACTGAGACCCCGTCCAATTGCTCCTGTCCATCACGTCGGCCAGGCGCCTCGTGAGCGCCCGCGCGCCGACGGTCATCATGATGCGCAATGTCTGAGCCCGACTTCGGCAGCATCCGTTCTCATAGTGCTCGATCCTGTCAGCCCTGCGCCAGTCGCCGTTGAAGAGATTGCGCACTACCTCTCGCATGCGCACGTCCTCTGCGCGCTCGATCGGCATGAAGGCGTCGATGACGCCGGAGCGATGCCGAGAAGCCTCCAAGTCACTGCAGGCGCCGTGGATTATGACCAGCCTTTCTCTGATGAGTTCTCGCATGGCGTGTCGAAGGCCCATCGTGTTCCCGCGCAGGCTCAGCTGGAGGCGGATGATGCGAGTGCTGACCTGGCCCTGCGCAGCCGAGCCCAATGTCGCCACCTTCGCTTTCTTGTGGGCATCGCAGACTAGGTGTAATGAATCTCTGGCCGGGTGTCGGCTCCGAACTCCGTTCTCGTACCTGATGTTTGCTCCAGCTTCGTCGCTAATGATCAAATCCACTGATCGGCGAAATGTATCGTCAAACTTATTATCTAATGCTGTGTCTCCAATGTGATTCACGAACGCGGTGATGTATTCAGCGCCTGTGCCGTCACCGCTCTGCAGCAGCGTGGGCTCGCGAACTGCGAAAGTCATGGTGCGGACTGAGTCGTCGGCCAGGTGCTGCTGCAAGCAGTACGCGCGCATGGGTGATGCAACGTGCACTTCGCACTTGCTCATGCTGGCCTCCACGATCGCCCCTGGCCCTGTACTCGGTGTCGGAGAGACGACCCTGATGTGGTGCTTGGTGCCGTCGTGCATCCGCATGCGGAACTGGGCAATGGGTATCGTACGCATTGGATCTGCATCGCCGACTGAATGTGCAGGTGTGCGGACGGATTGCAACATGAACTCTGAGGAGGTGTTTGCAGTCGTCTTCAAAACCTCGTAGAAACAATTGCTAAGAGCACCAAGCACCTCTGATAATTTTGATTGGTGCACACCGCTTTCATGACTGAGCCTCGTGAAACTGCACATCGTCGAAGTGGCGCGGGAGCCGTCGCTAGCGCAAATCAACATGTCCAAGAGCAGCGGCACACCAGGCGCAATATCTTGATCCCTGAGAGGCTTCAACTGCTGAACTATTGCTCGAGCCTCTCTGGATATGAGTCGGGCGCCCCGCTCGTTGACTGCACGGGGCGTGTAGCACTTCATGGGCAAGGATCTGAACAACTCTACGCGGTCGGCTGCATGGGCTGGCGCAGCTACAACATGAGACACGCTGGGCAGCGGCAGCGGCCCTCCGAAATCTTCGTCGTCGGAAATGATGGGCTGGAGCGGCCCTCCGAAATCTTCATCGTCGTCGGAAATGATGGGCGCCAACGGCCCTCCGAAATCTTCATCGTCGGAAATGCGGGCGCCAGCTGCCGCTGCCATGACAGCAATGGCGATCCTCAAGAGGATCATCTCATATGAAGGGTTCGCACTCCTCTGCGAAACATATGGAATATGAAAATGGATGGCCAAAACGGCTTCGGCGGAGGGAGGAGGACAAGACAACATCCATGAGAGCGACCAGGGAATGGACAGCACAGAGGGGAGGAGGGAGGAATGAAATGTGGAGGACGACGATGCCCTGGCAATCAACTCGGGCCCAAGGGAAAGCAGGCCGACGACGAGGCGACGGGGGGAAGGGCGGAGGGGGGGGGGGGGGGGGGGGGGCGTTGTGCGGAGGAGCAAGGCGAGGAAGACAGAGGCGAGGAGAGAGAGAGAGAGAGTGAGAGAGAGAAGGAGTGTATGAGAGAGAGAGAGTGAGTAGAGAGAGAGAGTTAGAGAGAGGAGTGAGATGAGAGAGAGAGGGAGAGAGAGAGAGAGAGAGAGAAAATTAAAAAAAGAGAGAGAAAGACGAGAGAGAGAGACTGAGTGGAGAGAGAGAGAGAGAGAGAGAGAGTGAGATAAACACAAAGACTCAGATAAACACAAAGAGAGAGAGACGAGACTGAGAGAGAGAGAGAGAGAGAGTTAGAAAGAGAGAGAGAGGATGAGTAGGAGAGAGAGAGACAGAGGGAGAGAGAGAGAGAGAGACCGCGATGAGGAGGAGTAAGTGATGGGAGGAGGAGGTGAAGAGGGAAGGGCACGTACGTGCTGCAATGGTGTTTGGCATGGCCCCGCCACGCCAAGAAGGCCCCAAGACGGCCCAAGAGGGTCCCAAGACGGCCACTGAGAGCCCCAAGGCGGCCCAAGAGGGACCCCAGAGCGCCCCGCGAAGCCCCCAATGCATCCCCGAGAGGGCCACAGGGGGCCCCCAAGACGGCCCCAAGGGACCCCCGCGATAGCCCGAGCCCTCCAAAACGGCGGTTGTCCCGAAGGTTGCCCCAATGGCCCCATCTCCCCCATCACCCCCTTCATCCTTATTCTGCTCCGTCATCCTCCTCCCCCCATATTCATCCTCCTTTTCTCCTCGTCGATGCCGTCGTCGCCCACCGTCGTCGGTGTCGTCGGATGTCGTTGCCATCGTCGATCGTCGTTCGTCGCCGTAGTCGTCGCCCATCGTCGTCGTCGCCGTCGCCGCCTTGGAGAACGGAGGGGGAGGGTTAAAAGGAGAGGCGGTGCGTGAATGCGAGGGAGAGGGACGGCGATGGCCCACCAAGAATGCATCAGCACAGCCGTCGGGGCAACCATCGGGACAACCGTCGGGGCAACCATCGGGAAGATCATCGGGACACTTATCGGGGCAACTACCTGGACAACCATCGGGACATCCATTTATCTCGGTTCTGCATTGTTTTGTTGCCGAGACCGTGCGCCCGTCCAAAGTTGTTGGTGTTCGGTTATTGTTGGTTGACCTTGCTGTAGTGTTGCCTTCGATGGTGTAGAAGTAACTGGTACTCCGCGTGGACTCGCCCTCAAAAGCTTTCACCCATTCAGCAGTCCGATCGTGCCAGAATGGTTGCCCGATGGTTGTCGTTAAGGTTTCTCCAATGGTTGCCCCGATGGTTGTCCCGATGGTTGCCCAGATGGTTGGCGCGACGGCTGCCCCGATGGTTGCCCCGATGATTGCCCCGACGGTTGCCCCGATGGTTGTCCAGATAGATGTGCCCGATAATTGGCCCGATGGTTGTCTCATCGTTTCTTACGGTCTGCTTTCAAGCAATGATCATTAAAACAACGCACTTTTTCCGCGAACAGAACCCCATCAACGAATTTTCGGGGGGGGCGCTGCGCCCACCAAAACACCACCGCCGATCTTTCCCCGCGGAGGGCGCGCCATCGCGCCCTGATGAACGGTCCCACGGCTGAAACCCATCAAAACCCATCTCACAGAGACCCCGCAGGAAGGACCGAAGGAAAGACCCAAGCATCATGCTCGGCGCACCGTGTGACACTTTCTGGCGACACGCCTGCTCTTGGCTGGCGTCTCTCGGCAGCGTTCTGCTGACGCAAGCGTGCTGTGCCTGCGCCACCGCGCTGCTGTGCCGCCTTCATGCTCCTTTCCGCAGTCCGCCTTTACGGACCTTTTCTTTCTTTCTTTCCGGAGGTTGCATAGGCCTGAACCCATCCTGGGGCGCCCCCCCGCTGAGTCTTCGCTGCCTATCTTGGGCCACCTGCCGCCCCTCCTCACAGCCTCCGGGTCGTTGGTGTAGTCCGGGTCGACTCCCTCCCCCTGGGGTTGCTCGGATCGCGTTTTTTGATCCGGCACTTTTCGACGCTGCAATTTTGATCCAAGGCCTTGTTTTTGACCCAACGCGGTCACACGGCACAATTTTGATCCAGGGCCTTCTTTTTGATCCAGGGCCTTGTTTTTGATCCGCGCATGGTTTTTTGATCCAGCACACTGTTTAGGCTTGTGCATGTGCACATGACCAATTCATAGATTTTGTTTAGATATTTATATTTTGTTATTAATGTTTTTTTTTTTTATATATATTGATATATATATTATGGTTACATGTGCTCTTCTATACATACATAATATATATATATATTACTAATCCATGTACACATACTAACATACATTACTCATACATAATCATACATACATGTGTTTGATTATATTACAGTATACATTATTCACTCATACATACAGATATATCGATATGCACTATATACTACATATATACATATAAACACTATAAACATTACAAGTTATATACACGTTATTACATATACACATATTACATTACATATAAAATAGTACACAATATCTACCAAATATGGAACACAAAACCAACACACACAACACATATATATGATATAAATATATATATATATATACACAACTCATTTACTATCATTATATATATATTCACGCATGCATGGACCACGATGAGGTCCGCGAACTACGCCTGGGAACGCGCGCCCGCGCTGTAGGGCGCGCCGCGCTCTCAAGCGCGGGGCGCCCTAAAGCGGGGGTCGGTGGACTCACGCGCCTGGCGGCCCGATGGCGGCCCGCGGATCACGCCCCAGGTCCCCGATATGCGGGGCGGCGGGATTTTGCCGTGCCGCGTCGTGCCGTGCCGTTCTGCCTTGGTTGTCTCAGGCGTCTTGGGGTGTCTGGGGCCTTATGCGTCTTGGTGAGTCTTGAAGCATCAGGCGTCTTGGGCGTCTAGGGGCCCGAAGCGTTTTGGGGGGTCTGGGCTGTATGTGTTCTGGAGCGTCTATAGGGCCTCAGGCATTTTAGGTGTCTAGAGGCCTTAGGCGTCCTGGGGTATCTGGGGGCCTTAGATTTCTTCGGGGCGTCCTGTCACCGCGGGCCCGTCTCTCCTTGAAATTGTGGCTCAGGCGCGTTGTCGGCGCCACGAGGATGGCGACCCCACCGAACGAGGATATTGTAAACCGCATCAGCACATTACTTAAGACGAGCGCCCTCTTGCCATACCGCGATGAGCTCGCAGGCCGCAGGGACATCGACGCCCTGGTGAAGCATCGCGAACTCATCACTGCCGTGAAGGACTGGGCCGTCGTCGTCGTCACCCTCGTGTTCGTCTTCCTTTTCTTGATCCTCCACCTCCCAAACAAGGACACTGGTAACAAGGGGGAGCTGAAGATCCTTTTCCAGAAGGTGGCGGAGCACCGCAATTCAGAATGGCAGCTCGGTCCCGAAGCAAAGGCATGGGCAACGAAAATGGGCAGACGAGCTCAAGCCATGCGCCGCGACATCAAGCAGGCCATCACGAAAGCCAGAGATAGCGACAACGTTCCCGAGTGGCTCAGCCCGTTCATGCAGGACGGGACCGACAAGACGGAGTACGATGTCAAGTACATACGGGACGAGCAGGTTTGCTATCGGACTCAGAAGGGCGTCAAGAAGCCTTTGCGGGAGGAGTCTGAGCCGCTGCAGCCCAACGACGAGGGCGACGATGAGTTGGTCCTAGCGAAGTGGCATGACGGATTCACGCGCAGGATCCCGAACTTGACAAATAAGACGTTGAGGGCCCTACAGGTGGACAACGGATTAGGGGATCGGCGCCCTTCAAGCGTGACCGAGATCAAGCGGGAGGTGGCCAAGGACGGAGCTACGTGGCGACTGATCGACGCTAAGGAGCGTCGCCCAGATGTTCCTGACGTCGCTTTCCTGCGCATCTTCAGGGTCCAGGGCGCGGCGAAGCCGATGTTGCAGCTGGTCGTGACGCGCCACACCGCAGACGAGAAGGAGAAGGCCACATGGGAGAGGTGGGGGAGGATTGGAGAGGAATAGGACGGGGGGTCATCGGGTCAACGGTCGGTCAACGCATGTGCATTGACCTGCCGTGGAGCCGGTGACCCGGTGGCCCCCCAGCCGTTCGCTCCGCATCCCCCCTCTCTTCGCCTAGGCGATTGCCTGCATGAAGAAGCTGATGACAGAGATGATCAATGGCATGCCGAAAGAAAAGGCAGAGGAACAAAAAAAGAGCACGTCAAACCAGCGCCCGAGCAGACTGCTGCCAGTAAGAAGCCAGCATCAGCATCGAAGTCGGATACCAAACAGCCTGCGGCCGCGACGTCCCAAGACGACGGCAACGAGAAGAACGAGGAGGAGGAGGAAGGAGAAGAGGACGAGGAGGAGGACGAGGAACAGGACGAGGAGGAGGAGGAAGAAGAAGAAGACGCTGAAGAGGCTGAGGAAGATGGCGAGGAGGAAACGGCTGAAGAAGATGAGGAAGAAGAGGAGGAAGTTCGCAAAAAGCCAGCGCTCAAGAAACCAGCGAGTGCGGCAGAGGATGAGGATGAGGGCG